ACTAACTGAACCCAGGTCAGTAGCTCTCGAGCACTGCAGGGAGATTTGCAGGAGCCCTCCTGGCCACAGTGCTCTGGTTGCTCAGATGGGAACGGCTGGCAAGGGAGCAAGTGCCGGAGAGAGATGAGGAGAGGAGGAGAGAACGCTGCACAGGCTCTCCTGAGCTGTGTGGGATGGGAGGCCTGACATCATTTCTCCAGGGCTAAAGGGGTAGATGCATCGCCCCCATCTCCTCCAGCCCACGGGAAATGGGACACACATACTGACTTCACTCCCAGCACCATCTATTTTTCTCCTTTCCTATCCCTCACATCCCTTCCGAGCCAGAGCCCAGAAACAGCCTTCAAGAGCTGCTGACACAGAGAGGTTTTCTTGCAGGCCAAATCCAGTATCTTGCAAAACAAGTTAAATAATTAACTCCTTTCATGGGTGACTTGCTCTTAAACTTCAAAGTCTGGGCAACTTATGGAAGGAGTGAATTTGACCCTGGGAACACCCAGCTCCAAGCATAAGAATGCTGGGCTTTGCCCTTGAATGGGTGACATATGGGTTTGGCAAATATGGAGGGTATAGGTCCCACAGAGAGAGACCAGACTCTGCCTAGACATCAGCCCAAAGCAAGGAGCAGAACTTGCGGCTTGGAGTTGGGAGTACAGCATTGGTACTGCCTCTCTGATTCCCCCAGGGTGCTGCAGCAGCTCCCCACGCTGGTCCCTTGCTGCCACCTGGTGTCACCTCGCTACAAGTGCTGGCGAAATGGGGTGTTGAAATTTGGGATGCCACGGGCATCGAGGCTGAAGACAGCATGGGCACAGAAGTGCCCATGAGGTCCCCATCCACAACATCCGTGGTCCCAAGCAGCCTCACTTGTACTCCAGCCTTCACCTGGATCTGCAAACAGGCCAGTGACTTCTCTCCTGCCTACGGGGTCAAATCCAGGACTGCAAATATTTCACAACCAGCTGGACACCACCAAGGGTTATTTATGCTAAGGCAAATACATTCCAGTCATTGGACCTGGAGGTGGTCCCCATGGCACCTAGAAACTGTCAGTGTGGTCAATAACAAGAATTACTCTTGTTACTCCAAATCAATTTTCTTTTGCAATAGGGCAACAGGCCCCAGAGGCAGAGAGAGCAGTAAGGACTGTACTTCTTTAGTAGGGTTTTTGCTAAGCAAGACTTTGTCATTTCCACCGGAAAAATAAAGAAACTCAAGATTAACTCAACCTGCAAGGTGGCTACAAAATATGCAGCAAAATTCTTCTCACTAGTTACCAGTGATTCCCTGTGGAAGTGGAAGGAGGCACTGTTTTGCCCATCTCCATCAGTGCCTCAGTAATTGAGCTGGAGGCCAGGGTGCTTAATGAACACACAGCTGATACCACCCCAAGGGGATGTGTTTGGAAGCTGTGGTAGGATACAGATGATCTTGGCAATTAGACCAAAAAAGTGTGGGCAAAGTAAGGCGGATGTAGTTCTGGAAATACTTATGATGCAGTATTCTGCTTCCAGGTATGAATAACCGGTGTGCAAAGGCAGGCTGGGGATCAAGGTTACAGGAAAGGGTGAGTCACAGGCTGAGCCACGTCATTCGGGGTAGGGTGAGGGGGGTGTTATTGTTACTATTTATTTATTTTAAACCATGCTGACTCGGGGTGTTTGCTCTTAAAACACTCATGAAGCAAGACATACGTTGTTTGAAGCCAGAAAAGTCTAAGCTCAGAGCTTGTACCCTGCAGGTACAGGAGCAGCTGGCAGAGCCTGCAGGATTCTACTCTGGACACAGGAAATCTGTGAACACGCAAGAGGGAGCTGCAGGTAGCTGTGAACAGGCTCCCAGCATCCGATGGGAACAGGAGAAATAATAAGCTTAAATGTCAGCAATAGTTTCAGGCTACTTGTTAGGATGCCCTCTGAGCCCATTTCCAAGACCAGTAGAGACATTCAGGGCTCATGCAGGAGATGATCTAGGGATGGCCTGGATGGCCTCTCAAGGTTTCTGCCAGCCCTACATTACTACCATCACATGAAATGGCTGAGAAGCACCATAGGCTGCTCCTTCAGGACACAGACTGACCTGCCTCTTGAGCTCTCCGGGCTTTCCCAATGCTTGGGTGGCAAAGGCAGAGGCCGTGGAAGACCCGAGTGATGCCTCCCCTGCAGCTGCACATGCCTCTGTGTTACCCACCCAGAACACAGCACACCTGCACAGACGTGGTCCAGATCCTGGGCCAAGGGAACGCTCTGCAAACCCAAGGGGAAGCACAAATCCTGGCACTGTTACTGGAAACCTGCTCGCTCACCCAGTGCTCCTGTCCAGCCTTTCCCAGAACACAGGAAAACAAAACCAACAGAGTGGCACCGCAGGGCTGTGCGTGGGGCCTGCTCTCCAGAGCAGAACAGAGGTTTTGGGGAAAGCGTGGGCATCAGAGAGGGGTGTGAGGGCACCGTCTGCTGGGCACCTGGTTTCGGGCAACAGCCAGAGCCCTTGTCACAGCACCCTGCTCACTGCTGGGCTTAAAAAAAGGACTGTCAGCAGCCCTCTTCAGCCTGCTGGCTGAAAGGAAATTTCACACCAAGTGAAATTGTGTTTCAGCCAATAGGCACAGCCCAAGTACCCGGGAACAGCTGCCACCAGCACTGTCCCGCCACAGACCTGGATGCTCAGCAGCAAGGGAGCTTGCTCAGAGGCATTTTTAGATTTATTTCAAGCCAGCCCTGTTGCTGCCTCTTTTCAGGATACAGTGAAACAGCCTTAGCAAGACTCGTAGCAACCAAGGAGCCTGTCGGCTGAAGACAAAGTTTCTTCATAAGAAGGGAAAAGCGAGGTTTGCTCTGCCTATCTGGAGCTGCCGTCAGAGGCAGCAGACAGGCAGCGCTGTCGGGCAGGGAATGGCAGGGAGGAGCCTCCCAGCACGAGTAGCTCAGTGAGTATGTAATGAACAATCCCAAACCGCCCCCAAGAGGCTCCTGTTCGCAGAAAGGCCCCCCAAAAGGAAAAACAACCAAAACCCAACCCCCTCCCAGATCCTGTATGTTTTTCTTGCATTCACTGCAAGTCTCAGCTGGGGGGTCCTGGCAGGACACCCTCGTCACATCACAAAGCAGCCACAGGCATGTGGGGAATATGTGCCTCCACCACTGCAGGGACATGGATGGGGGGGCTGTGGTGCACCCTCCACAGTGGGTGAGAGGGGCCATGCTCCAGGGCACTCCTGTTCAGGCTTCCACAGGAAAAACAGTGTATCCAAGAGGATTGTGGAACATATTGAGTCAAGGGAAGGCCAGGGTGGGGGACACCCACGGCAGCTTTCAAACCATTGTGCCAGACACCCTGAGAATCACTCTGCCTGTCAGAGGATGCTCTGTGCAGGGCTGTGCTGGTGAAACCCTCCCACAAGGCAGCAAATGCTGTTAAGTCTCCTTTGCTGGGAAGAAAAAAAAAACCAAAAAAAGATGCTTCTCCACTGCAGACAGGCATCTGTCCACAATTGTGTGGAGCAGGACCCAGCCCAGATTTCCCTGAATGTCCATGTTTCAAGGACACATTTTCCCCTTTGGCAGCAGCTGGGCGCACAAGTAGCACCCTGTCACCAGCTCTGTCCCTCCTGTTCCCACTGACACTCCAGGAGCAGGTACCACCACAGACCAGGATGTTCAGCAGGAGAGCTTGCTCAGAGGCATTTTTAGGTTTATTTCAAGCCAGCCCTGTTGTGTTTTCCAGCCTCTTTTCAGGATACAGTGAAACAGCCTTAGCAAGATCCACAACAACCTAGGGCCAGCTCCTTACTTAGCTTTTGTGTGAACCTTTACCTCCATGACTCAGCCCAGCCCCAGCACAGACCTGGTTTATTCTCATAATTACAAGGAATGCAATACTTATACATGGCGCAACAAACTAAAAGGACACCGCCTCCCTCCCACCATGCCAGGATGCTCAGACTATTGCAGGAGCCCGGGCTCACCACAACTGAGATCCAATTATTTCCTTGTTCCAGTTCTGCCCTCAGGCCACCCAAACCCACCAGGAGGAGCAGGAGCTTCTGCCCTTTCCCAAGCCCAGCCTGGACACAGCGTTACCTGGAGGGTGGCCAGGGCTCCCTGGAGACTCAGTGCCAAGGGGCAGCAGCTGAAAAGAGGGGAGGAGCCCTTGCATGGTATGGTAATTTTTTGGCTCCCAGCAGGAAATGAGGGTTAATGGGAACAGGAGCCAGGTGCGTTTGCAGGTGCAGGCAGCTTCCCTCCCTGCCTCTCCTCAGTAGCTCAGCTGCTGCCGTGGGGCCACCCTGGGCACAGACATAGCCAGAGCCAGAATGAACAGTAGCTGCCCTTGACTGTGCAGCTGGAGCGAGCTCTGGGTCAGTACCCAGAGCCCCCTCTCCTCTGGGGGAGAGAAGTTCCTTCCCACCCCTGCACTGTGGTCATTAATAGGGTCACCTTGACCTGAGCATCACTGCAGCAGTAGCAGGGCACGGGGAGGGGAATGAGGTGCCAGGAGGATGCTCCCCAGCCCTCCCTGCAGCTCCTCTAGCAAATAAGCAGCTGCTGGGCCTTGAGAGCCCCCTAGGAAAAGGAGAAACAAAAATACAGTTGCCTGGATATTGATGTCAGGCTATTGACTAGCACAGTGTATGAATTCAGTAAAACTTGTATTTTACAGCTGAAATTGGTATTTAACACGCTTGCAAGAGTTTTAAGAGGAATCTTGGTGCTTAAAACCCAACTCCCTTGCCCCTTGAGATTTTATTTTCCTTCTTGAGTGTTTGTCACTATCTTTTCTTGAGATGAGACTCAAGCCTTCTTGAAGAGATGAGACTTGAGCCTTCCTGGTCTTCACCATCTCTCTTTCCGTTACCAAATATTCCTCAAGCCCAAACCTTCATCTCCCAGAAGTGTGGGGAGGAAAGAAGCAGCAGAACAAGGCCCCTGTGCTGTGTATCATCCCATACCATAGCCCCCTTAATCCTCAAAGGAAAAAATAATCATGGCACCGTGGACTACTTGAATCACTAGATTTTAATAGCCATATAAATTCTTTGCATACAGCAATCTGTGGCATGAGAAACCATATAGATACCCAACAAGTTTTTCTGGCTTTTACCACATAAAACTATCATCAATTTTATTTTTTTTTTATCAACTCCTGTAGTAGAAACAATAACCAAGCAATTAACAGCAGATTTCTAATTTTCTAACAGAACAATGTTTCTTCTCTTAAAAAGAGCAGAGAAGCTGGCAGGGAGTTTCAGATGCATGTACAGATCGGGGTACCTCGGGCAGCTGTCGCGCAGATGGCTGTCAGCACTGCAAGCGTGCATACCCAGTCTGGGGGGAGCGTGAGCAGCACCTGCTGTCAATCCCCAAGGAGGGCTGGGGGTGACCAAGGGGTGACAGCCACCTGCTGCTTTGCCTTTGAGGGCACCATGCACCACCTTGCCCTCCAGCACCCACTGGTCCTGCCCGTGACCGGGACCCAGTGCCCTGTCGCTGGGGTAGGCAGTGAGGGACCGCACCTGGAGAGTCACCTGTTTCTACCTATAATTTCACTTGATCAGGAGTCATAATCATCAAAAGCACACTGTACCTTTCCACACCACCACCCAGCACCTCACAGGCCAGCTGACTCTGTCCTCGGCTGCCCAGCTAGCCCAGGAGCCCACATGCCCTGCACCAGCCACACACAGAGCCCGCTCCCACCCCTCACGCCTGTCCCGGTGACATTGGCTTTTGCAGAATTCACAGAATTCATAAAGAAGATCGTTATTTACATCAAGGTGTTCAGCAGCGCGATGTGACAGAGGAACTGAGACGAGTTCACCCACGGGCTTATTGCTGACTCGGGCCCGGGCACCGAATCGCCCCGGGCGGTTTCCATCCCTCTGGTTCACACAGCAGTGGCAAAGCTGCCGCCTGCACCCCGTTTCCACTGGCTATGTTCACCCTCAGGGAGAACCATCCCTGGGCAAGGCGGGCTGTGCGCGGACGCCACACCCTGGGCAACATTAAGGCATTACATATACACAGGAGCTATTCAGGGATTTAGAAAAACCCACTCAGTGTAAACATTTTTTGCACATACAGTCGTTGGACTTCCACACATGAAGTTTTCTGTTGTTTTCTGCATAAATCACGAGTTAAGGAGCTACAGAGAGAGCACTCAAGCCTGGAGCACTGGGGGGCTCTCTTACAGCACGGCAGCATGCAACACGACGGACTCTAAGGAGTAGAAGTACTGTAAGTCTCAGTCCAGGATGCTCCCTCCTTCCTACACTTCATATATAGTTTAGGTAAATGTCATGGACAACTACGTGCTGGTAACCCGGGTAGGATGGGCAGCTGTGTGAGGAGCACTGGGTGATTTCAGCTCATTTCTACTTTAAGTAGAAAAGGGAAATACTCTGCTTCCGTTTCTGTATCTATGGAGGTTGCTCAGTGACCCCTAGATCACTGTGCCAGTGGTGCTATAGGTTTAGGTATCAGTGATTCTGCCTTCCTCAGGGACTTTGGCACATTGACTCCGATTCGTACAAGATCCCTGAGAACTTATCAAATCTGCAGTACTTTACAATTTAACAGACCCGGCCTGGGCACTCGGCTCCCTGCCACGCTCACGCCTGCTTCTTGTTGTTGTCTATGCTGTGCAGCAGCGCCAGGAACTCCAGGATGAGGTTGGCCGTCTTGCGGGGCCGCTCCACCACCACCGAGTGCCCACAGTTCTCCAGGATGTACACGTGGCAGTCTGGGATAGCGCTGGCTAAAACACTGGCGCCAGAAACATCCAGGACCTGGATGGCAGGGGAAAAACAGTCAGAGCTGCGGATTGCTGGACACCATAGAAACCCTGCTGGAGCTGCCTTTGCAAGTCCAATTGAGATGCCGAGCAGGGATGCAGACACAGTCCTTGTGATGCCAGCACCCTGCCTGGGGACAGGGAAAGGAGACTGCTTGGTGCCAGTCTCAGCATGCAGCAGGGAACTCTCTTGGATGCTTTTTGGCTGTTGGCTCAGTGCAAAGGGGTCATTGCAAGCAAACACTTACATCCTTGCATTTATAGAGCCCTTTGCATGCCTGCAGCTTGCTTCCTCCCACTTCTTCCCTCCCACTCCTGCCTCTGAAACCAATCCTACAACTTTGCCTTGAAGCCTGCCTCACAAACAGCATATCCCTTCGCAGTTGCCAGGACAACTCTCTTTGCTGATACTTCATTCTTCTTCCCAGCTTTGGTGCTGGCACCTACCCATCCACCTGTCCCCCTGCCCTCCCCAGCCCCAGCTCTGCCCTTTCCTCTCTCTGGAAAGCTGACTGTCAGCTTTCTGCCCATCACCCTGCCGAGGCCCCCTGTCCAAAACCACCAGGGACAGGGACACACAGTGCCAGCTCCCCACAGAGCAGTGCACAGCTCCACAGCACAGCCCTGTGGGTGGGCACAGGCAGAGACGGAGACATGGTCCATGGGGGATGAGGAGGGTCCTGCATACCTGGTCCTGCTTTCCCCAGATGACCTGTGTCGGCGCTTTGATCTTGCTCATGTTCTCGTGGAGAGAGTGCCTCGACTTTTCATCCACAATTTCTAAAAACACTAGTGGGGCAAGAGGAGAGTCAGTCCTACATGGGAGATGTTTTGCCTCCCATGCTCAAAGGGGCCCCTGTGGGCCAGTCCTGTCAGCGTTCCCTCACTGGGAAACCCATGCAATGGTGATGGTCTGTCCTTGCCCGGCCACCAGGCTCAGCTGCAGCGGGCCCCTCCACCAAACCATCTCCTCCTGGGCACTATTAACTCATATGGGATGGTGAGGGTGAACCAAGTGACCCCATTACCTGTGGGGGTGGCAGTGGGGGTGGCAGTGCATTGCTACTAGCGAGCAAGGCGTGTCCCCAAATCTGTTAATGATGTTGCTCCTTCCCAGCCTCAGCAAGGCAGCAGAGGGGTGCTGGGGCCGGGCAGTGTGCAGGGGACATGGGGGCTGGGGACAGCCCATCCCCACACCCTGGGGAGCCTGCTGGAAAGCCTGGTGAGGAGGCTGCAGCCATGTACTTACATTTCCGGTAAAATTCATTGTGTGGGATGCGAACGTCAACGAGGCCCTGGAGGATCTGCAGGAAGAGCAGAGGAGAGTTGCTAGAGGGGACACATGCCCCACACAGGGCTAAGCATGCCCAACAGCACCTGAGAGCAGCCCCCGATACCCCAACATGCCCTGCACAAGCCTGGCCCCAGCATGAGCTTCTTCCTAAGCATGTGGGACTGTTAAAACCACACTTAAGCAACATATATTTCAGCAACAAGTAATTTTGTCTGCTGTGATGCAGATGCAATTTCTCCCCCTGGCAAGCAGCCACCTCAGCCGTGACTGCACTTCTCTTCTTTGTTGTATTTTTTTTCCCAAAACCCCGAAAGAATGCACTTAAAATTTTTCTTACTCTCCAATCTACTCATCCCAGACTTCCTAAGGAAAACTAACCTAATAGCCAGCCCCTCGCCAAGTTCCTGTCGCCTGACAATGAGGCAATTAACATTTCCATGGCTTTTACTTAAAAAGCAGCAAACAATCCCTCTCTGCTCCGGACAACAGCTGCCTTAGCTATTTAATGCTTCCTGCCGGCCATATTTACTAAAAAACCCTTCTACATCGCAGCCTGCTGCCAAAAACTTCATGGGAGGAGGAATTCCAGTGGACGCTGCCAGAGGGAGCTCAGAAAAGTGGGTTTGAAGGGGAAGTGCTGGAATGGTGCTGGGAGTGGGGCCAGGGGTGTCTCCTCTGGGTGATGGCAGGGACGGCAGCTCCAGTTCCACTCCCGACACCACCTCAGCTGCCACCGTGCAGGCTCAGGGGGAAGCAAACCCGCTCACCACCTCCAAGCCCCCTTTCCCAGCTGCTGCAGCATCGGCTTCTCACCTGCTGTGGCACCTTGAAGCGAACGTAGGAGCAAAGCTTCAGCATATCCGCCATCTCCTCGGGCGTTGAGGGGATTAAAGGGATCCTGTCAATACGTTTGGACTCCTGCAGCTCCCGGAGCTGCTTAATGAACTTGCTGTCGGTGGTACTTGGCAGGCCTGGGCGAAATGAGAAGGGGGGCATGAGCTAAAACCCGGATGAGACCCCCCAACAGCCCAAGCAACAAAGCATCCCTGTGCTGACCTCCCTCATCCCTGCCTCTGGCTTCCTGCCTGCTCACTCATTAAAAAAATATAAAAAAGTGTGGAAGAAAATATCAGTTCGTACAGCAACAATATGCACCCAGAGATACCCTAACCTCCCTCCTGCTCCAGGGACCCCCAAACCCATAGGCTGACACAACACGAGGTGTATTCCCTGTAGACATGCATGAGTACTTCAGTAAAAGCTATAGCACCTATTTTTATGTGGTCAGCAGATGCAAACCCTGATGCCCAGGCTGCCATTGCACAGCATTGGACAGAAAATGTCAGCAGCCCTATCTGCATGCACCACTGAGGGAAAAATCCCCTGGCAACAATCCCAAGCGTTGCTGCAGCCCCCACAGAGGTTTCACATGAAGAAACAGCCGGAGAGTCAGTTGACACCTCTCCCAGAGGGGAGTGGGAACCCTGACGCCCCCAGAGCCTGGTAACTAGGTAACGTTTGCCTTGCTTCATTCCTTAGTTCTTATTTGGAAGCCGCTTTCCTTGCGTGGGAGGGGGAAGGAGCTGCTCTAACAACTGGGATGCAGCAAAGCCCTCCTCGTCAGAGAAGCTCCCTGCCCCCAGTGCCTCCTGCAGCATGTCATGCCCAGGCTCCCCTGAGCCCCCTGTCCAGGGGATGGTGGGGAGGAAGGGGATGGTGGGAATGGGGGGATGGAGGGGTGCTGAGCAGGCACAGGAACACCTCGCTGACCTGTGCCCAGTGCTGAAGTGCTTTTCCCACTCAGGGAACCCAAAGGTGGGAGGTCAGAGCTCTCCAGCTCCCAAAGAACCAGCCCTCCAGCACACCAGGGCTTATCAGGAGGCCAGGCTGGGAAGGCTTTTCCTATTGCAGTCTTGGTTCCCTCTCGAGAACTGAGAAGCTGCAGACATGCCATGTAAAATGCCTGCCATCCCAAGGGAAGAGGCATTTTCCTGCAGAGGACTTGTCCTGTTTGTCCTGTTTGCCCTAGTCCCAGCTCTAACCAAGGCACAGTGGGGCAAACGCCAAACCCCTGGAAAAGAGCAGTAAGTACTAGGCTGTGATTTTCTCCCATGCCCTGCCAGAGATTTCCAAACTGAAAATACAAATTATTTCAAAATGCTTTGCACTAAACCCCTCTTCTGTCTCCAGCACTGCCCTGGGTTTTTGCACTGGCTCCTGATTGCTCTCTCCCTGTCTCGCCTCCCTGCCTTGCCCACCTGCAGGACAGATGAGGGTCAGGCTGCAAACATCTTCTGGGTACTGAGCAGCATAGACACCAGCAACATTTCCCCCCATGGAAGTGCCAACCAGATGAAAGGGCCTTCTGTTCAGCTTGATGCACTCCACGAACTGGCAGGGAGCAGAAGGAGCGTTGTTAGGGGAGAGGAAACAAAAGCATGGGGTCATTAGAGAAATTCTACTCAAAAGCTTGAGGCTCTGTGAAGGGAGGGAGCAGGGCCCCTTGAGCGGGGCCGCACAAGGCAGGACTCACGGGGCTCAGCATCTCTCACGTCCCCACCTCCCTCGTGTCCCCTACGTCCCCCCGTTCCTCTGCAGAGCCAGTGCAATGCTAGGGCTTTACCTGGTGTATTCTCTTAGCTTGCCCACTGATGGAGTAATCGTCCAAGTCTGAGCGGGTTGTGCCCTCGTGCCCGGGCATATCCACACACACCAAGTGCAGGTTCTTTGGCAGGAACTGCAGAAACAAACCAGGGATGGTTATGGTGCAGGGAAACAGCTGCAAAGCCCAGGGGTGGAAAGTGGTGACCACGGGTGGGAGCAGGGGGGTTGCTCCCCTCCTAGCAGCCCCAGTTACTTGTGCGCCAGAGTAAGTCAGCTCATGTAGCAGGGATGACATGATGAGAAAGCATGGCCATGACTTGCTTCCCATAGAGGCAGCAGGTATGTACTGCTCTTCCCCAGCAGCTCTGCATGGCACAGGGATGAAGGAATCCAGCGAGCAATGAGCATGGAGCTAAGGAGGGTGTTCCTAACACGTTACCGCAATCATCCCATCCCATGCACGCAACCACTGGGTCCCCACACTGCCTCCAAACCCAGGGCCATCAATTCTCACTAAGGAGCAATGTGATAGAAGTGGAGTCCCACCTTGACTATGGACAGCCACATGTCTTTGTGGGCTGAGAACCCATGTAGCATCAGGATGGACGGTCGGTATCCAGGTCTTCCTCTATAGGAATAACAAAACTGATAGTCATCGTAGTTCGCATATCTAACCTGCATGCCCAAGGCTCGGCGCCAGTACCTGGAAATGAGAAAACACCAGTGAGCGAGACAAGATCAGGGCCCAGCCATGATATAAGCCAGGTGACAATCCAAATGCAGCCACAGATGGCTTGCTGAGGCTAGTTATGCTGGGGTCATGCTAGTGCCATCATGGGACTACTGGGACTAATCCGGAATATCTGGTCCCTGGACCAGGTCCTGTGCTTCCATACAATCCCTTACAGGTGTAGTTCTACTGGCTGACTGCTCATGGCTCCACTGCAAGTGGTTTGTGGGGACACTTTGTCTGTAAAGAGTTTTCAAAAAGGCCCTAAATAACTCTTTGGCAATGGAAATGGGCCAAAATGACAATCGTAAAACTGAAAACACCCAAAGGTTGGTCTGAGGAGAGAGACCCCAGGGAGAGGCACCACACATGGCAAGGCAGCATGCAGGGTGGGCGGGCTGAGGGAAGTGGTTCTTCCAGGTGGGTAAGGAGGATCTGCCACAGAGTTATTTGGACACAGTCCTGCATCAATGGGAGAACATCAGCCCACAGACAAGCACACCAGCCAAAATAACAATGTCACCTGGGAGCACCAGCCAGGGAGAACCTGGTTCATATGGACCAGGTACATAACATTTAAAAATGTACTTATATACACACAAAGGACTGGAGGGGACCATCCTTACACAGGGTCTGGCACCCCAGGAGATACCAGGCTAACCCCAGGGTTGTCCCTCTGAAAGCAAAGGGAGACAGTTCCTGCCAGCACACTCTTGCAGCTCAGAGGATGCAGTGAAACTGCCGGCCAGAAGGACCTGGACAGAGATTATCGGTGACACTTTGGACACATGATGTGGATGTGTGGCCCAAGACAGAGAGCAGGCTCTCTTTCTCTGCATTTCCCTATGCTCAAACATAACCCTTGTCAGGACAACTACTGGGCTACTCCTAATGGCCAAGACACTGGAAAAATATATGTTGTACCAGAATTTATTTAAGACACAAGCGCAAGGTCATCAACACGTCTGGACTGTCCTACCTCTCTGCCCACTCAAAGCTTATGCATAGTGAAATCCTCTTTTAGCATAATCCCTTTCTCGAGGGAGCTAGTGGGACTTAAGCAGCATCTTGGCTCAGTGCTGGTCCTACAAGGAGAGGTGAATTTCTCCCTAATAAGTGTCTTAAGAGTCCTTGCCTCAAAAGCACTGGCGTGAACTACCGATGGGCAAGATGATAACATTTTTAGCAACTGATCCTAATGGATCAATTCAGCAGAAGGCAAAATAATCTGTGCAAAGCTGAACTGATCCCCCAACAAGGTGTTAACTCGCTTAGTGGCAGTGGCTAAACTGATTAACCCCTGTCACAGCACAGGCAGAGCGGCTCCAGGCCGGGTCAGTGGGGCAGCCCTGGACATCGTGCCAGGCAAGGAGGCGCATTAGCAGCAGGGAAAGCAGTGAGACCACGGGCAGGGGGGACCCAGCGTGACCCTTGACTGCACCAGCTGAGGACACTGCAGACCAGCAGCAAGGAGGAGGAGGAGGGGTCAGGGAACTGTGGGAGAAGGGAGAAGCATCCCCTGGGACCTCCCAGGGATCTCCCAGGAGCAGTGCTGCAGAGCTAGAGCTGCATGGGGCTGGAAGGGGAGGGCAGTATGGCATTCTGCCTGCCCCTCTCCTGCCTCTGCTGATGGGGAAAATCAGTGATTTCACCCAAGAAAAAAGCCAATTTAAAAAGAAGCCAATAAGAACGGAAGAGTAAAGAGCAAATCTATCTTCTCGCCCACTGTCCCTAACAAAAGAGGTGATCATGACACACAGGGCACTGCAGTTACTCCTGCAAGATGCCCATACTGCCAGAAATGCTGGGAGAGAGAGAGATGGGGGCACCAAAAAGACAGGCCTTCTGATCCCTGCTCACACACTCCCTTCCCTCAGCCAAACACAGACCAACTTGCCCCCAATGCATTTTCACCCAGTTCCTGATCTGTAACCAAAAAGAACAAAAGCAGCAGAGGATACTCTACCTCCCTCTCACCCTGGCTCCTCCAAGCTCCCGGCATCATCCCCAGCACCTCCTTTGCCCTGTCCTGCCACCCCTGCTTGTGGCCGTAGAAGGCTTTGCCCTGACCACACTCACTCAGCTCTGCTGCAGCAGTTTCTCCAGGGATCTTCCTTGGAACCTCAGCCCATCAGAGTCTGCCCTGGCTTCCAGCAGCTGCTCATATATCCAGAGAGAAAAACCACTTTCACTGCCAAACCTGATACCACTTGGACATCTGTGACTCAGAAGGCTGTCACACCACCTGCTCTCCTTTGCAGAACGACAATGCCATTCCTGGGGTTTTCATTCCATGTCCTCTCCTCTCTCAGCCTCAGATGCTGTTAATTAAAGTGCCATTAGAAACAGGCTTCATCTGAGTGCTGCAGTGGGCAAAATCTTCCTTTCACAGGAGGTCACTTGGATTTAGGAACACACCATGAGCTGAGCTGCAGAAGCCACCATCTACCAGCAGCATGTGAGGGCAGCCTGATGTGCTGCCTGCTCTGCCTATTCTGCCCACTCTGCCCACTGCTGCCTGCTCCATGCTGGGTGATGAGACTCTGCCTTCACTTCTGAAGGGAGTTATTCCAGCTTTTCCCTGCAACAAACCCAGAGAGGAAAGCTGCCAGAGTGCTTATCACTGATTTCCAGAGACAAAGGAGGACTGAAGGATGTAGTGCCTGCCTCCTGGTAATCAGAAAGGACAAGATGCAAGGGTGTAAGGAAAAGCATCGTCCCATCTTCTCTGATGATCTATTCCAGAAGAAGAGGTGAGGATGAGAAAAGCCTTGTCTGTAACTACTAGTGAGAGAAAAGCCTTTGCCTGCTGAGCAGGGAGGGAGCATGTGAGCATGGGGACACCCACACCATGGCCACATTGATGAGGTGGGAGGTCACCAGACTGCCAGGGCTGCCAGGCTGGGCGACAGGAAACAATGGCTGTGCTTTTTTCAGCCACAATCCTGTCCTTAGAGGAAACAACCCAGAAAGATTTGGAGAGATCCTGCAAGCTGGCACTGCAGTGGCAGCCGGGCCAAGAGCCCCTTGACACAGTCCAGCCAAAGCCCTGGGACAGCAGGGGCCAGAGCAGCCCCAACAGATGTAAGCCTCCACAGCAAAAAATGCAATAAAAAATGACATTTTCTTCCTACAGAGATGCTTAAAGCTACTCACAGCAACACCCACCTCCATGCACACCACCGTGCACCTGTGTGTGTGTGGGGACCTGCTGGGAACAGCAGCCGTTCCACCCCTGCGCCACACGGAGAGCAGCCGGGCTCAGGAACTCACCAGTAGTAGATGCGGATAAGTGCTGAGGGCCACAGGAGGAACGAGGCCACGAAGGCCAGGATGGGGATAGCCAGGGTGCCACCGGCGATGACAAACATGTTCAGCACATCCAGGTCCATGCTGCTCTTCACCACCCAGCCTCACCTGCCTGCGTTTAGGGAAGGATCAGAGGTTAACCCCCAGAAATGATGACAAGTCAATGCTAGATGAGAACTCTGCTGCCAAGTGAAGAGGAAAGTGGCTCTGCAAGAGGCAGAGAATACTGCTCAGGAGCACAGCAAAGTCTTCTTAAGTTCTAAAACCCCATTATTTCTTCTGGCTCCTTAATGGATCTAATTATTGCAATGTTATCCTCTCAGGAGAGCCCATCACAAAAAGGCAATGGGCCTCCTAACAGGAATGGAACATGTCAAAGGTGACAGGTATCAATATGGCCCTTGGGACACTTTGCAGACACAGGAAGCACAGCCCTCCAGTGGGTACAGACAGCCTTTCCCCCCACCATGGGTGCAGGCAGCCTTTCCCCCCTGATTGGGTGCAGGCAGGGCTGGCTTAAGGCAGGCTCCACATTTCTTTTTGGAGACAGGCGTCCAGCTCCTTCTCCCCTCCCCCTGCCCAATCCCAAATCCCCAGCACACAACCACTGACCTAGAATTGATGGGTTGAGCCCGGCTCTCATTATCGCTCTGCACAGACACCAACTAATCAAGGAAGCAGAGCCTATTAATGTTCTCGGAAACTGAAGGAAATAACTTGGCAGGGCACTCTTTGGTGACCAGCCCTTATCTGAGACAAATTTATCCCCATCCCCACCCCCACATCTTCGCTTCTGCCCCACATTTTGCACTTGCTGTGGATTACAGGTGCCTATCCCAGCTCCCCAGCATCCTTCAGATAAATATCAGGGACAGCAGGCAGAGGACACTGGGTGCAAGGGCAAGCTCCCACACAGTGCCTTGCTTGTCCCTGAACTCTCCCCACGGCAGGCAGCTGGGAGATATTTTTCTCATTAAGAGATTAAATACTGCCACACACTCATCTCCTCTAATTCCCTCTGCTAACCAATTCGTGGCTCGCTCTTTCCTCAGCACTTTTATACCGCATTAATAAAACAAAACATCCTCAACGCCTTTGTTCCCACCAGCTGCCCACCCCCCATCACCAGCCTCACGTTTCTGCCTGCCAGGACGGGGAGATTTATCCCTACTTCCTGCAAGACTCCCAGTGGGATGTGGCATGTTATGCCATGAAACAGGAACAGAATCACCACAGTCACAGCCTCCCGCCCCCAGACACCGTCACACTGGACCACATCGAACCCCCAGGAGAAACGGCTTACAGAACTTCTGAAGCATCAGCCAGATTTGCCCTCTTCCCCCGGGAAAATAGGAATAACTGAAATTCGAGGAAGACTGTAAATATTTCCACACCAGGCACCTCCTTAACAAAGCTAAACCTCATTTCCGCCTTCAAGCCACAACAACACGCTGTTACTCGCTTAATAAACATTTTGAAGAAAGATCCTTGATCTCAGCACGGCTTATTCATAGATAAACACTTTGTGCAACCGATAAACCTTGTCGGTGGGAGCAGGGCTGCCGGGGAGCCCGCCCCTGAGCGCTCGCTGCCTTTCGCTACATCACTAACACAGGGCAGAAATTAAGCACAGAAAATCGCCATTGTTCCCAGCGGTGACCCGTAACGACAGAAGGCTGCAGGCAGGAAAAGCGGAGGCGGTGGGAATCCCTGAGCTCCCTGGCGCGGGGTCGCCACCTCTACCTCCACCTCCACCACCGCTTTTAGAAAGCAATACAAGAAGCAGACAACCTTAAAAAGCCCGGCTTACCTTGCAGAGTTCCCCTCCTCCTCTCGGCACAAGTCCTGCTCGCTGTGGGCAGCGGCAGTGTCTGAACAAACTGTCAGAAGAGAGGAAAAAAACAAGGTCAAAATCGCAGTCCTGCCTTTTCTCCTCCCTTCAGGCTCAAGCAGCCCGGCGAGTTCAGGGTATTTAAGTCACCAGCTTCCCTTCAAGACGCCTCATATTCACCTTCTGACCAACCTTTCCCCCATTTATGTAATGGGTGATACAATAAAGCCAGTCGGGCGCACTCGTGCCAAGCAGGAGCAAAGTGCAGGCGGCCATCGGGAAGGAAGCAGGGCCGGGGCGGCGCGGCGGGGAGGGCCAGGGCTGCGCGGACCCGGCGGCGTGGGCTCACGGTCGCCCTTCAGGTGATTACTGCTATTAGAACAAAGCCCGATAAGCAGCTTCGCTTCCCCTTCCTCTTCGTCTTAAAGGTACTTTTCCAAGCACCCTCCGTGCCCCCCCCGCCGCTTTCCCGGTGTGAGACTGGCTGAAGCGCGGCGCAGCCGCAGGAAATTACTGGAGAGGCAGGGAAAATGCTGGCCTGAACTCGCGGGCAGATTTTGGCCATGGAAATTCACGGTGGAGGATCAGTGGGAGCACCGGAGCCACCTAGCACGAGAGACAGAAAACCCCTGAGAGACATCCCCCTCCTCCCCTTCCACCACGGCCACAGGGTCGGGGCATCCCGGGGGTCTCCCGTCCCCACCGTGCCGGAGCGTTTCGGCGGGGCCGCGGCAGACACCGCTCACCACGTGTGCCCCGGCGCCCAATGCCGACCCCGCCCGGGGCCCCTGCACACGGGTGCCCGGGGGCGAGGATGCTGCTGAGCCTCCTTCCGCGTGGGCAGAGCATCGCCACTGGCCTCAGTGGCTACCTCCGATGGAGGCAGCGGGAAGCAAAATGCCAGCAGGCCCAGCTGTGCACTCAGCGGCAGCCACACCATCACCACAGTCCCCAGCAATCCCAGCCCCATAAAGCCACCTCTGCGCCCGGCAGCGCTGCAGGGACACCGGCTCCCGAAAGCCTCGTGGGAGCACCCACAGCGCCAGCCCCCTGCGATGGTGCTGTGCCCAGGGGACGATCGCCAGCCGTGCTGCGCTGGTCCCTCGCTACCAGCTAGAGACACTGCGGACTTTAAAAATAAAGGCAAGCTCCCTGGTAACAGCTGCAAGTCTTCAGATCACAGCTCATCCATCACCTTGAGGTGCCCTGTGACCAAGAGTCACCGCAAGTGGCCCCAAGTGTTGCTACCACTTCTCAGAAGGATCTCCACGTATTTCATAAATTATTTGCAAACATCAATTAGGCAACTCTGATAAATGGCATATGATCATGGTGGTAATAGATCACCTGGTGATAATGTCAAGCTTGTTGTGCACCTGGCAGGGCACGAGATTCCAAACCAGGAGCACAGGTTCCCACACTGACAGCTGAATGACAGTCACTAACCACTGCAGCCTCTGTGTCCCATCTGGGAGGACTCCCCAAAAAAGGCACCCCAGGATGGTCCTGGGACAGATGCTAAGGGGAGGCTCTACATCTCCACTTACTTCCTACTTCCTACCCTGTGCAAAATTCAAACAGGAGCCTCATCACCTGCAGAAGGGCCAGGCAGGGGGGGCTGTGTGTCACGACAGAGGACAGCATGTTGACAACAGTCCCTAAGGCCATGGCACAAAAGTACTTTTCTCTTTCAAGCTGGGTGAGTCATATCAGAGAGGCTGGAGAAGGCCCAACAGTGCAGCTCAAGTGTATCTATTGATTTTTTCCAAGCCCCACATAGGATGCAGAAGCAACAGCAGCACAAAAACCATCCTAAAGCAGAGGTGCTGGGTTGGAAAAGGAGAGTGGCAGCAGATGTTCTGGGCAGCCCTGAGCAAGGCCAAGGAAGGATTTCTCAACACAGGAATGACACCTGTGCCCTCACTGACCAGACATGCCAACATTCAAGCACAAAGGTTGTCCTGGGCTGTACTCATTGGGACTGCCCTGCACCCAAGGTTTTGCTTGCCCCACCTGCACCCAGGGCAGTCTATGACTGACAACAGAGTTAAATCACTAAAGAGCTGAAATCTAAGCAGCACATTTAGGTATATGTTATTTTTTTCTTTTAAGATTTGAAAAGGAAAAAATATCAACCAATTTTAAGATCCCACTGCAGAAGCAGGGAGCTTTGAGGGACCTCAGTGGTTGAGATGTGGCCCTCAGAAATGTCAACTCACACTACTAACCATGTAAGAAATAAAACCCCAAACATGCAAGTGACGCCTTTCCCTTTGAAACTGCCTTACCCTTGGCATCCTCAGCAGCCAGAAAAATAATATTGACCATAAATGATGACATAACTAATATTACGATTCCCCAGTGGTGTAGTTTGCTGGGTGAGCCTTTAGATGCCAATCACAGTGAAGTTGTAGTTTAAGATCTATTAGTGAATGATCTCTGTCTGTCAACCAGACAGCTCTCAATCTTAATCCAGCCTCCAGAGCGAGACGAGAGTAGGAAATGCGCCCTTTCACCTTCATTTATTTATAGATGGCAGAAATGAGGTCATTATTTCTGCAGCACCATTTCACAAAACATGTATCTCTGACACATTTGTATCTATGCAACATGGCTGAAACATGAGCTGGAGAGTCCAGGCTGGCTCCCGACCCCGCTGCTTCACCCCAGGCTGGGAATATCCAGGGACGAGCTCTGTGTCACTGCCAGCCAGCCTGGGGACAAGGTGGATGAAAAGCACGACCGAAGGAGGCTGTGCTGCCAGCCAGCTGCTGTTTTAGAAATTCATAACGTGCACATCCTCCTTCCGGACCCCGTCGCCATCCTCACCCTGCCGCACACGCACGCAGCGGGGCATGCACGGCACAGCCGATGTCACGAGCGCGCCCGGACTCAGCCCTCTCCTGGCGAATGTTGGGGGCGGGGGTAGGAAAGAGTTGGGCAGGGATGGGGTAGGAGTATCTGGGGGCCACATCCCGGCCCCTTCTCCCAGCACAAAGTTCCTCCTCCCCCCACCCAAAGCATCCTCCTCCAGCCAAATGACAGCATCCTCCAAACAGCAGCAGCCGAGACCACAGAATCGTGTAGTATCATAGAACGGCCTGGGTTGGAAGGGGCCTTAAAGATCATCTTGTTCCAAGCCCCGTGCCATCAGATGATTAATCGTTGGAGAGGGGGAGAATTTAAAGACAAATTAATTAAATCTTTGGAAATATGCATCTGAAATAATTTCTTGCATTTTTGGCTTTGCTCCCGGTCTCCAGCCCACCGCCGAGGGCTGGGAGCGAGGAGACCCGGACACGGGAACGGCTGCCCCCTCGGTCGCCCCCCGGTTCTGTCACTGCTGCTGTCAGCCCCGCATCCCGCCCCCCCCCGCCTCTCACCGTGCCGAGCCGAGCCGAGCCGAGCCGTAATGGCAGCGCCGAGCGGCGAAACGCGGCGGCTCCGCTGCGCCCTCCCCCCGCGCCGGTGCGGCTCCGCGGGGCGCAGCGAGAGGCGGGGATGCGGCTCCGCGGGGCGGGATGCCGAGGGGGGATAGGCGGGATACAGCCGGGGTGAAAGGGGCATGAAATAGGGGGAGGGGGGGGCTGCAACGCGGTGCGAGGGGGGGATGTAATAGGGCGGCTTTGGGGTTACAGCCGGGGTACCCAAAGGCTGAAAGGTGGCTACAGTGGGGGAGTGTAAAGGGACATTAATGGAAGCTCAAGGAAGGATGAAATAGAACCGTGGTAGGAGTACAAGTGGGGAACGCAATGGGACTCCCATGAGGGTACAAGGAAGATTGCCACAGGGGTGGGAAGTGCAGTGGGGGGCTGCAGGTGGGGTATAATGGGGGTGCACAGGGGCTACAAGGTGGCTACAGCGGGGGGTGTGAAGGGACGTCAGTGGAGGTGCAAGGGGAGAGTGCAGTGAAGCTGCCAAAGGAGTGCAAGGAGAGGGAACAGGGGTGGAAAGGGGGGTGCAGTGGGCAGACGCAGTGGAGCTGTAAAGGGAGATATGATGTGAATTCAGTGGGGTGGCAGCAGGGGATGCAACTGGACTGCAGTGGGAATGCGTGTGGTACATAACTGGGATGCAAGGTCTGATATAAGATGGGGTATAAGAGGGATAGAAGGGGGCTACAATGAGGTGCAAGGGGGGTACAGAGTGGCAACAGAGGGATTTGATGCGATAAGTGGGGGTGTAAGGGAGGGCTGTAGCTGATTTAGGGTGTGCAGGGGGTACATTGGGGTGTGCAGTTACAACAGGGTTACAACAAAGATGTATGGGGGTATGCAAGGGACACACAGCAGGGATTCAAGGAAGATCCAATGAGATTACAGAAGTTATACAATGGGGTTGCCATGGGGATGCAACAGGGATAAAAAAGGGAATTTGATAATGGCAGCAACGGGGTTACAACAAGAAGATACAAGGGTGGATACAATAGGGGTTACAACGGGGAGGTAAAGGGGATGCAAGACGACTGCCACGGAGATATGGAGGGGAATGCAGTGCTGCACCCCACAGGGAGACCTCACAGCCTCCTTGCACAAGGCCTGGGAGCAAGCATGGGAATGGGGGACAGCTGTCCCCTTCCCAGGTCCTGGTGTGGGCTGTGATCCGGGAGCACAAAGATCTGCCCTCGTTCCTGTGGAAGGGGCACAAAGGTTGAAATCAGAGCATCCCACTGATAAAAGTCCCATTTCAGGTATGAAAGTAAGTAAGTCTGCCATTTAGGTTACAAGCCTCTTACCTGGTCTCTCTTCCCAACAGATGACACTGCTTGCTCTCAGGAGCTGCGTTTCAACCTGCATTTAAAATCTGCTCTGTTTTTATTTAAAATTGCCACCTGAATCCTTTTGCTATAAGCAATTTACGTTCATTCCCCTTGGGTCTTATATCAGGCTGGTGTGTACCTTGAAGATAGGCCAAAAAATCTGAGAAAACTTAATTAAATTGGAAATGAGATCAGCTCCTGAGTAAATGCAAATTGGGTCAAATCCTCACCCCAACTGTGCTTTGATAAGGGATGTCCCTTTGGTCTGCCGGGCTGGGAGAGATGAGATAACTGGTATAAATGGCTTCCTGGGTCAGAGTTTACTATGATAACCATAAGCTTTTGATAACATGAGCTGTTAGAAGAGATTTATAACTAAAATCAAGGGGTTTAGGTGGCCTGGTGAAGGTGAGGCACAGCTTGTTTTGGGTTTTCTTTAAAGAGCTTCCCAGTCAAGCTGGGCTAAACAAAGCTGAGCTTCCTTTAAAGTGACCTAATCGGACATGGGAGGTGTTTCACAACCCTCCAGACATTGTTTACGGTCGCATCTGTTTGTTCAACTTTCTCGTGCATGGCCATGGGACACGTGCAGGGCAGCGCTGACTCACTCCACGGATGGATTACCCACCCGATGGCTATTCCAGGCCACCTGGTGGGAAGTCCCTGGATATGGTCATG